CAAGGATAATAAAGTTTAAAAAATATCGATTTTTATTAACTCAGTAGACGCTGAAAAATAATTGTTCAATAAATCTGTTGTTGTTAATTAATCAAAGATTTTTGAATATTACAATTAGATTATAATCGTAACGATTAAAAAAAAGAGTGTAATTTGAAAACGATGTTTTAACTTTTGTAGAGAAGGGTAGAGCTAGTAAGCTTTAATAGAATCACTTAAATAAAGTATTCGCCATAAAAACTAGAAATTTGGTAGATATACTGTCATAAATTGTTTAAAAGATCATTATTAATATTAATCATATTATAAGTTATAATAAATTCGAGAAAATAGTCAAATTTGTTCCATTCAAGGTGATTTTTTTAATAGAAAAAATTGATAACATACCGTAGTTTAATTTAGGTTATGATTAAATAATATATTATACATGTATTTTTCAATTAAAAAAAAAGTTTTACCCCGTTAAAAATTTTTATATTTAGTATATCAGTTTTTAATTGGTCTACCAAATAATTAAAAAAAAAATAGGGTGTAAAAGTATTTAAAAAGGGAAATTGATCTGATTATTACTTACATTAACTAAGCTAAATCAACTAATAAGCAAATTATTGTGTGTGCCAGTGATTCATGTACAAATAATGAAAAAAAAACAATTTTCTTCATTTTATTTTCATTAAAAATCTCCTTTAGTATTCTCCTAATTTGAATGATAATTAAAATTTCAAATAATTTTTATTTGTGATATTTTTCTTTAGCTATTCAATTAAAACAAAATTTATTCATATACAAATTAAAATCTTACGCCCTAAAACAATATTATATCGTTTTTGTAAAAAAAATCTACGTGCTATTTAAAGCAAACATGTGTTCATTATTTTTAACGAATTTATCATTGTTTGGTTAAGATGTTTAAAATGTATTTCAATAAAAATTAAACTTTATTAACATAAAGTAATATTAAAAAAAATTATTTCAAATCCAAGATGATCATCTTTCTCTGAGTGTCAACTTGTCCCATTCTCCCCACCCTACATTTCATTAGTCGCTTCTATTTAATTGATGTACTGCTTATAAATTTAATTTAAATATTATGATCATAACTTATGAAACAACATATCTAATTTTAACGTTTTTGATATTTAAAGAATCAAATTACCACACACCGAATCAATTAAACAAGTATTATTTATAAATATTTATGAAAATTCAACTACGGAATGCATTTAACACCTTTTTGTACCGATTAGTAAAAAATTAGCAATAGCTTTCCTCTATTCACTTAAATTTATCTCTACAAATCACATTTCTAATTTGAATTTTTTATTCCTAAAATGTTTGACCATAGAAACTCATATAATGTTAAAACATTGGACAAGATTAAGTGATATCTTTATTAATTTTCAAATTAGTATTCATACATTAATTTTATTAAAATATAAAAATGTGAACGTAAAACTCTAGTTCTTTTTGTTTCTCGTGTGCATTAACACATTGCTTAGCTACAGAATTAATAGAATTTGTAGTTTTGACATTTAACTAACTAAATAATAATTCAATTTTTTTTTTTTCATTCATTCCATTTATCATTATCTGATTAACCTAAAAATCACTAACAGTGATACAAAAAGGTTCTCATGTAAATTGTATTAGTAACATATCAGTTTTTTTTAATTATATAAAAATCAAAAAAATCGATTCTGTAAAATTCTAGAGCTAATGATATTTTTCAAATTTTTTGAAAATCTATTTTTCATTCAAAATAAGTGAAGTATAGAATGTTATATTGTTAAAATTTGCCGAAAAAAATAACTTTTAGATTAAGCAAATATTTTCGAAAAAAATAATAATAATGATCTAATTATTACTAGTTGGGAATGCACTATCTTACATAAGACATAATTAAAGGTTATATCTGTTCAATTATTACAGAATATATTTAAGATAAAATGTAACGTGTTGTGCCTATCGTTTATGGTGTCGAATACACGACTATTAAATGTTCGAACCATTCGACCTTTATGAAGAATATCTAAGTGTCACATGTCATAAATTATAATAGTCTCGTCCAGGTTCAAAACTCATTAAATTGGAGTAGGACATAATTTACTGATCAAACTGTGGGAAACGAACAGAATAACATTGATATAAGTTTGAAATTGAATGCTAATTACGACTGATTATTTTATTGTTTATCTGAAAATGTCATCACACAAATTATTTATTATACGTTTGTCTAAGAAGTCTTAATAAAAAGGTTAAAATAATTACATAAGATAATTTGTTCTGCGTTATAACATTTCTGATTTAAAAACATTTCCTAGAAAAAAAATGACGCTATTACCATATATATTGAAAACTAAAATTAATTTAAAACATGACATTTAATCTAAAATAATTAATAAATACTAAGTATATGTGTTTAATTATAAGATTAAATCGTGAACAGTGTTGCAACTAATGTAACTATGGCTTTATTTTGAGGAGAAGAGTATGCATATTTCTGTATATATGATTACTTCCAAACAAAAAATAATTCATGTACAACATCCTACACTACAACAACAAATATTTGTTAGGCCGTTACAAAATAATACGCGGTGGTTTTTAATCTAAAATATTAATAAAATTGCATTTACTACTTATGATGTTTATTGAATATTTCCGTATATTTATAACTCCAATTTTCTAGCACTTTTTTACCTTTTTACAAAACTGTTAACCCAAAACAGTAAAAAGTCCCACACTCCTTCGGTTGATATGTTACACAGATTATACGGGTTTTCATTTCTTTTCCTCATTCCTTGTTTTTTTTTTTTTTTTGTATTTACCGCTTCGACACACTATTTAGGTGAAATTACTATGGACTCTCGCAGGGCGTGAGATTCACGTACGCACGTGTATAGTACTTATATGTGAGAGTGACTAATTCGATTTCGTTGTATGTATACACACTTGGATAAATGGTGTGCGGGGAAATTTCACGCGATTAGGAAGGGCTAAAAAAAAACTACATAACATGAAAATATGTACACACAAACCGACGTGGGAAAGGGTCACCAAACTCTACGTGAACCCGGAACGCGACAAAATGGTTTCAAATGGTCAAAGGATTTTTTCTGTGATTTACAGCGGTGTGTTATTAAAGTATATATTTTTTTTCTTCCTGAACTCATTGTTTGACCACATTTCCCTGTTCCTTATGGCCAAAACATTATGTAATATCCACAAAGACCTTATGTATCTTCCTTGTTTGTAGGGATCCCATACGACGTGCTGTGTAGTGTCCCCGATACGGTCATCAACCGAAACGATAAAAAAAAATTTATATTTTTTTGAACACTTTAAAAATATGTCTTTTATGTGCACAAGCCGAGTATATGCGCCGGCCAAGTTATGGTTTCGCTTTCAACGAGTAAAAAATTGAAATACGTTTTTTTCTCCTAAAGATGAAAAAGTCCGTTATAAAAATCAAACTAGTTTCGCTCTTAGTTTAAGTAATACTATTAAGAAAAAATTATAACTGTAATAACAACCCCTTTTTTTCACTGCAAAGGCTAGAAAGTTAAATATTAAAAAAAAACTCGTAGTAAGTGTTTTTTTATGTATAAATAACCAGAGTGAAGAGTTTTTTCAATCTTAACAACATATCATCGTTGTACATTGTATACTTATCGGTAATCCAAAAAAAGATACTAACGGTACACGAAACGGTAGGTAAAAACTGTACAACTAAAACATTTTTATTAAGACTGAGACATGTTATCAGTCATTGGAATAAAAAAAACGCTAAAATTTTCCCAACTCCTACATTCATAATTATTTTAACTTAAACTTATTACTTAGAATAATTTCACTAAAGCGCACGCATGTTGTTTGTATTTCAAATAAGTCATAAAAAATATTTTACATGTATTTTTCTTTTTGTTGACAAAATTCACACCGAGTGTAACAATAACAAATTACTCTCGTATATCTAATGAAATAAATGATCGTTTTCTACCCCATAAATTAGTTATTATAATCGGCAAATCTTTTGTTTTCAATCGCATATAACAGCAAAGTTATTGAGTTGATGTTAATCTCGTGTACGTTTAGGGGCATATTACCGTATCAGACCGTGATCTGCCAGTACGAGGATACAACATACTTATTTCCAATTATTATTCTAAACACCAGTAGCTCGTATATATATATATAAGGCACGTGACAGCGAGTAGGAGGAACGNCAGTACGAGGATACAGCATAAGGATACTTATTTCCAATTATTATTCTAAACACCAGTAGCTCGTATATATATATATAAGGCACGTGACAGCGAGTAGGAGGAACGTGTAAGCGAGAAAGACGTGCACTCAGGTAAATCACGCAACAAATATTGTCTAATTAAATACCCGCCGGCAGCTACCGTGTTTGACTAGAGGATATAACACAATAATAATAATGGTGGTCGACTCGTATACCAGTTTACGCGCGTAATTGTTATGACTATATATCAGTATAGGCTGAACGTAATGCGGTTGATATATTCGAAAGAGTTATCTCATTTTTCGTTATAGGTAGTTATTGTAGCCGACTACAATACACACCTGCCCTCGACTCAATCTTAGCAGCTGTTCCGAAAGCGAATCATTTGGTTTATCAAAGTTTCAGTAGCAGATTGTTTACATCGACTGTTTTTTAATCAGATGTTTGCAATAATACTTCTCAATTGTCTTTAATTTCGTCCATTATATTTAATAGTAAATGATTTGCATTAACTGATCATAAGCGTGTTTAAATTAGCGATCGTCAAAATCGGTTTCATTTTTGTGCAATGTACTCTTTGCATACAAAATTATGATTAGATATTGAAGTTGGTTTAATGCGTTACCTTTATAATGTAATATTATTGTAGATATTTATTGATAAAAACGAGTGACGAAAATATTGTTAAATTCTTAATAGTAACGGCGTGCGTAACACAATTAAAAAATATAAATCAAGTAAACAGTATGTTCATGCGTATGATGTCATTATTTTTATTAACATCTTTGGTAAAACAGTATTTTACATCAAATAACAATTCAAGTAAACAAAACTTACAAAATTACATAATAGACAATAGTTATTGATTTTATAATAAAATTTGAATAAAATTACTCTATACTAATAAATGCTAACAAATAATAATTGAAATACTATAAATATATACGAGTCGAAAAATCAACATTTTTAAAAAATAATTTAATTTCTTTGTACTTTGTACAATAAAAATGCATTGTTTTAAGTTAATTGGCGCGGTAGTTGTCAGGAGGGAAACCTAACACGCACTTGAGATCATGAAATGCAATGAAAAAATTGTCATTGAATTAATTTAGGTTCAGTATGGAATTTATGGAAAAGTCCGTAATGGTTTTGGGCCGGTGGATGGTATCTCTGTTCTGTAGGAGGGTAGTGTCCAAGCACATTGAGTTCCTGTTACTCCGATGGCTCGATAACGTCCTGGATTGACAGAATCCTTTACCGCATACGGGGCACCTAAACGGCTTTTCTTTGACGTGAATGTATCTGTAAAAAAAAAAACAAAGGCACTTAGGAAAATCTCGCTGAAACGATCCCCCCCGTCTAACGGCAAATGAAATGGCCAATCGGTTGTAACTTACCTATGATCTCTGAGGTGATCTTGTCTTCTGAACGCCTTGCCGCACACATCACACGGATATGGTCGTTCGTCGGTATGCGTACGCTCGTGAATTAGGAGGTTATACGATTTGCTAAATTCCCTTTGACAATACGTGCAGATGTATCGTTTCTTGGGACGAGAAGACGGTTGCGATGATGATCCGGGCATCTTTCTTGGCCCGACGGTGACGGGTCGACCTGTGATTGCCGGCATCCCATTGACGCGACCACGGGATCTCGCTGCAGCTCGGTTCATATGGTAGTAATTGACCAGTACGTTGCGCCATTGATCTGGATCGCGCCAAAAAGTGGCAGGACTTAACCAGGCGGATAGGGCAGCAGCTCCTGCTATTGGGACTCCCGGTGGAGGTGTATCGGGTCTTTCGACGTCCACGATTTCTTCGTCCGTACTGATAGCATCGTCTGGTTTATTGAAAGTGGACATTTGTGGATCATAACGTCGAGATATCAAGTTCATTGTCGAGTTTAAAATCTATAATAATCAAAATACATTTTTATACATTTTTTTATTATTTTCATACTTTGTTTTGTTTTAGAGAGCAAAAGGTTTTAATAAATTTATGATTTGTCCATTTAGGGAAAATTGACACGCCACTCCTTGCCGTTAATACATCTGAAGTTTGAAATCAATTTCAACTTGTTGACATGCCGCAACCATTACTATTATAATGTACATTTGATTTATATATAACCCTTTTATGAGTGCGATAGACCTTTCCATTGTGTATTACAAAGTCGAGCCCCGTATGATTGTTACCCGTATTCTGTACACACTACAGGGTGTTCAAAGAGTAAGGAAACCGGTAAATTGTTACGAGCAATGAGAATAATAGAAACCCTTTTCCTTACTTTCTGAACACCTATTTAACCGTACACACGAACACGTATTGTATACCGTTGAAATGTACCCATACTAATAATGCTCGCTTGAATTACGGACATATATAATATAGTATCACGTGTAGTGACAACCGCAATTTACCCTGATTCATTTTGTAATTGTGAGTTATTGTTAATAATGAAATAATTAAAAACATTTCTGTTAAGGAATATCCGGAAATTCGATGCCATCCCCATAACAATTATTAACATTTCATTCGTGAAAAAGAAACGGAAAATAATTTTCAACTAATTACAATACTTAACATAACAATATATTTTTAATAAAGTTACTAATATTTTATGTACTTTGACTTTGTCGAAAATTTGAATTTCTAAAAAATATTTCAGGTCAATCTTAAAATAGCACGCTTGCGGTTCTACCAACGTTAGTTATTATTTAATGGTATACATAATTACCTATGAATATACGTTTGAGCTTGAATTAATAATTAAACGCAACAATGGAATTCGAGAAGTTGACAATAATTGAAAATGTCTTTTGTATACGTGTTGGGTGCAACGTTTGTTTTGCTTCTGCGGCAGTTCCAATATAATGCTGGCGAATGAAAGTCACAAAAGATGAATTGATGTTCAGGTGGCGGCCGCTGCTGTGATTCTGGTTGTTGGTGTGAGTGAAGATTTGACGTGGTGCACAACTGGAGCGACGGCAGCCGTGAACGGTATAAAATAGTAAATGCGTTAAAGGGAGCACAGACGGGTAACAGCAGCGCGGGGAGACTGACGAAGCGACGGTGGCGCAGACCTCCGCATGCCCGAGCCACTCCCTGTCGAAGCGGTAGGCGGCGACACCCGTCGCTGCCCGTAGTCCGCCATTGGTGCCCTCTCGTCGGCAGGCCGTTTGCCGCTGCACGCTCGACCGATCGCTCTACCGCGGCTCCTACCTAAATCGTGCCGCCGACGATCCCGGGGCCGGGTCACCGCGTGCTCCTACCGATGCTGCAGCCGCCACCGCTCCTGCAGGGGCCCCAGGGCTTAAAACGCACAATACCGCGTATTCATGCGCACAGCAATGTTATTGTTGTAATGCCTGTAACCGTTGCGTCACCAAGATGGGCACATTTAAGCGAGTGTACATTTCCACATCGACTGCATCAATTTAGACTACAGACGGGGCGGTGTACAACAAACGCTTTTTACTTGGCACATTTTTTGACAAACTATTGACCCATCAACTCGTGTTCGGGTCACGGCGCGTTAACAGCACATGAATTTTCGTGCAGATCGATTTTTATGGAGAAAGTAGATGTTCTCGATACACAGAATTGGCGTCTAATATTTGTGCAATGAGCTCATTTTATTGAAATAATCATTAACGTCTTTATGTTCACTACTATATTCGGGATATGTTTGGGTTAAAATAGAACACCGTTCAAGTATATCGTTCATTAATGAGTTCACACGGATAGCTTTTTACTCGAATTCTGAACGCACAACCCGATGAACAATAACTGTAAGTGTACATATCTACACGGTAACACAATAGCTTCATAAAGTGTATTACCTTGGACGTGTTATATTTAATAATTATATGATATTGTCCAAAAACACAACACGGTTACTCTCTACCAAATTGTAATGCACAGTGAAACAGTATGCTTTTGACGTTAGTAAAAACAATGACAAAACGCTATATTAAAAAAACTTATTATTTCTTTATGTAACGCATCATTAAGTTTTAATGATGTATGATTTTTTCAAGTATGAGTTTCTTATTTTTATTGTTCTGGTAATTAATTAAAAAAAATCAAATTTTAATGATTTATTAGAAAACAGTTTAGAGCCTATAACATCACATCCAAATAAGCTATCACTGTTTTACTCATATTAAATAGTACTTCTATTTCATTCTTAAGTTTATGAATTTTGAATATTTTTTAACATCGAAATTTTGATTTTAATTTTTCATTATTTTAATAGCAAAATTTGAAGGTCAAATTTTTAATAAAAATTTTTTTTTTTCTTTTCAGAAACTTTTAGTTATGTTCTTTTAACTCGTATCATATTTGAATCGATTTATATATATTTTTTTGTATCGTTTTACGGTCTTTAACACGCATAGTTTGCTAAAAATAGGCAACTTTATCATCTCATTACACAAAAGTGACTGAATTTTTTTCAAATGTTACATAGTACTTACCTTTAGGCAATTAAAATGTCTGGCGAAAATATTATAATAGAGAAATAATTTAAACGCTACTTATAGAATTTATAGAATTTACGTATTATGGAAAATCCACAAACTACACTTAATTTTTATTTTTTGTATTTATTCTGCGTCCTGTACTAGATTAAGTTATTGGGACTCATAACAAAATCCTAGGAGCAATGACTAAGTTCGGAAAAGCTCCATTACTTTTATTTATAAAGTTTGTTTTAGTTTTAGTTATTATTAGTATGGGCATAATGGCCATGCACTCAGACCTGTTGGTCCATTGTGCGCACCTCATACCGAATAGCCTTGATTCGATTTACCCACCTAAGTGTTCTATGAAGTTAAGTACATCAATAGATATTGTGGATTCCTCCAATAAACTTTGATAGATTATACATTTTTCAAATAATCATACGCACAAATATCTTTTTCATCTTCTGATTGTAGATGTAATACTAAGTCCATACAATTAGATCTCAGTTGCTCTTTCTTTTTTAAATAATGGCGAGTATTTGAGCTTTCAATTTAGCTGTATTAAATCCAGTTTCTCAATAACTTTTAAATAATTTGACAAGTTCATTTAATAATTCTGAAGAAATATCTAAGTCTACATTTGGATTTTGTAAACTCTTGCTGACAATGTTCACTTCACTCAATACTGTATACCAAATAAATATACTCATAAGTATTTCTATTGTACTAATCTCCGAAATTAATGAATTAGTTTGATATTTAATTAGCAGATCATGTGATACTTACTTACTTTAATGAATTTTCCATAATACGTAAAATATAAATTTTGAAAATCTATAAACGGTATTAAAATTATATTTTCTAAACATTGCTAAATGTATACAGTAAAAAAATGTTCAGAAACGAGGTGGGAAAGGAGGTGTGATAGTATTAAAACAATAAGGTTTCAATTCAAAAAAATTATTGAGCGTTAGATGAAATGTTAGATACAACAAATGGAAATTTTATAAATTCTATAAATAGCCTTAAAATTATTTCTCCATCATCATATTTTCACCAGACATTTTAATTGCCTCAAAGTAAGTACTATGTAATATTTGAAAAAAATTCTTTCAGTTTAGTTTGTGTAATGAGATGATAAAATTGACTATTTTTAGCAGACCATGCGTGTTCCAGGCCGTAAAACGATACAAAAAAAAATTATAAATCGATTAGAATATGATAATGGTTAAAAGAACATAACTAAAAGTTTCTGAAAAGAAAAAAAATTTTTATTATAAATTTGACCTTCAAATTTTGCTATTAAAATACTGCAAAATTTAAAAATATTAAATCAAAATTTCGATGTTAAAAAATATTCAAAATTCATTAACAGAATAATAAAATAGAAATATTTCAAACTATGACGTAATTAAAACGTATGACATTGTAATTTTAAACTTATAATATTTTGATACTTTTTTTTATAATTTTCAAATTCTCTTTAATGATATTTTTACTTGTTAGTTTAAACACTGTTTAAAAAAATATTCAAATGTTCACATAGATGTATTGAACGTTTTTAACGCTTATAATGTGAGGAAAAATTTTGTTAATGATAAAATTTATACATTTGTATAGGTGTTTTCGACACTTTATTGCAGACGATTTTAATTTCAGTAGTATTTTTGTTATATTTACAATAGACTAGATTTATCATTATACAAAAGATTACTGCTTAAATCCTTCAAAAAAAAATAATCGTTCAATAAATGTCTAGTATTTTAAAATAAATTACATTATATTTTTAATAACACATTATCATCATGACAAATGTTATATTTATAAAGGTGGCGTACTAAGACTTATTTAATAGATTATACATAAAAAAAAATTCTATCACTATAATTGTACTTAATTATTCCGTAATAAAGAATTTCAATCTCTTACCAAAGAGGGGTCTTTGATGCACACTTGACACTTTACTGTGTTTTTATTATTTCATTCAAGCTATTGATAAAAAAATAATTTGACTGCAATTGGTTAGTATAACAACTACAATTAATATTGTTAACACCATTATCATTGTTGTTAAATAATGATAAATAAAATTTTTATTTATTTGTTTCTCAAATAATTCTTTATACGTGATAATATTAAATAAGTACAACACATTATATGTCCTCCAACTAAATTTTTGTAAAGGATGGTGTATATTATATACAGTTATTAATTCAACTTTTATATGATCAATACATTATATATATATTATAATTATCATACCAAATTAATTTATTAATTTTACAATCAAGGCTGGATATTATTTGATTAAAAACATAAAATTAAGTTAAATAAATAGTTCTTTATTGAGGGATTTAAATTTTAACTTGTCAATGTAAAAAATAAAAAATAATTTTAAATTTTTGTATCTTCTCATTTATTTTAATAATTTATAAAAGAAAATAAATAATTAATGCTAGTGATGAATTTTATAACATAAATATTTTATTTTAAATTGAAAGTTATACTTTTTTTATAAATCTGTTTTGAAAATAAAATGTATTATAATCTTGGCTTTACAAAATAATTTTCTCCTGTATTTATATACATATCTTCATTATTGAAAATTTCTGCATTGTTTAAATTTGTATTTGTTGGTTTTGAATAAGCACCAAGATTGGCAAAGTTTATTTTAAATGAAATGGTATTCATAAATGTTAATATATCAGTCCTAAACTGCTCATTAGTTGTTCCAGATATTGCATGTTCAAAAATGTGTATATACTTTTCACATAAACTTACGAAACGTTGAATAATGTCTATAGAAATAGATTCTTTTTGAAACGTTTTTAATATTTTATCTTTAAGATTCCTAAATGATAATGTAATATAAATTATAGACATACCCCTTCTGTTAGCTTCCCTCACGTATTCACAAAACCGATATATGTAAGTTATGGCTGTACTTTCGATAATATTTAAAAAGATAGCATAACCCAATATGTAATTTTGATTTTTTATACAATATATCATTACTGTGATAAGTTTTTGATCTCTTACTTTCAAACCGTCAAAATATATATCTTTAGCGTCAATTGAATTATCATTCCAAGGTTTAGGACAAACCACATTATTTGTTGCTCCATACTCGTCAGCATAAAATGAATGACAATTGATATTCAAGTCCAAAAATTTTGGATATTCCATCATAAGACGAGATAAACTGCTCTTCGTAATACTATTTACATCAAAAGCATACAGTGATTGTATACCAAAAATGAAAAAAAATAACAACATATTTTAACAAAACCGAACACACTATAACAAATAGTTCTTACCCATAAAGTTAGGACAGGAAATAATTGTTATATAGCTTACAATTTTTATATTTTTAATCGTGAATACTTTTTATACAGAGTGATTGATTTATCGTAGACCACTTGATTTCTACAAAACTAGTTACAATTTTGAAAAAAAATTTTGGCTTATTTAAGTAGTATATATTTCTTTATTTATAAGTAGTAAAATACTTTTTCAGTCTATTCCTAGCTTCTCATAACTGTATAAACTTAATTAATTTTTAAACGAGAACAGATATAATAGTTCAACTTTTTTATTAGATAGTGGTTTAATTAAGAAAATTACTGATCGATAACAACTTTTAGACCAGTATTTCAGAAATTACTAAACCTTTTATACCTAGACAGACAGATAAGTGTGCCCGAGAAACTTCTAGTGATGAAAATAATATAACCCGCACCTCACCTCCAGTCTACATTTAAAAAACTAATAACTTCTGAAATGCTGGTTTAAAAGTTGTTATCGACTAGTTATTTTTTTAGTTGAAATCATTTCTAACATTTAATCTATTAAAATATGTATATTTCTATTTAAATAATTAAATTTAACACCCTTATAAAAAATAAGGGATGAGCTGAACATGTACTTGATAATTTATAAATCGATAAATAAATAATACATAGTAAATAAGAAACTAAAAAAATTATCATATTAGGAGAATCTTAGGTGTTTATAATAAATCACTCTGTATACAATTTATATATGTTTAACCTAACAAGTATTTACTCTTGTAAAAAAAAATATATCTATAAATTCAACTTCTATTTAGCCTAATATAAACATGAGAGAATATGAGTAAATATAAAAATAAAGAAGTATCTGAAAATTATTTACATAAGATTATATAAATGTTGTACAATAAATTTAAGATCAATTTACTTTTATTGGTTCATACTTAATGTATTGCAATAATATCTTAAATATCTTAACAAAAAAATATCGAAATTCTATTACTTTATAATAACTATATTAGAATACTATTATGTGTATTTTGCACATTAAGTAATTTCAATAAGGTTTTTTAAGATATTATTGTACTGTCAAATGGGTTATCTTGGAGCGGTGATATAACTTGGGGCAGTAAAAATTTTACAGATATCAATTTAGTTTTTGTCAACAGATATTTTGTATTTTTTAATAATACTAGTAAACATTTTATTAATGCTGTAGATTGATACAGATTAAATGATAATAGATATTTAACTATTCCATGTTTAACCACCATACCAATTGGGTCATTTGGTGGTAAGCAATAAAAGAAACCCTAGACGCTACAAAATGGGTATCAAATGCGCTACTCTTATTAGTCTTTTTCTTTGTTTTAATTGCATCGTATCACTGATACGTCATTATTTTTACTTGCTAGAAATTTGCAGTGCATATCCTTATTAAATTTATTGATTTTATCAATCATACAATTTAACACAATCGCAACATTTATTACACTTATTACACTTAATAATAATATCATTAATATAAAACTATTATTTTATTATAATTATTATCTATTATAGAAAAAATGATAACAATATCAAAATTGATAACTATCAGTCGGCCAATAAAAGCGCTGTGTTTGATATCCGCTCTGTATCTTCTAAGGTTTCTTATATATCTGACGTTAATATATTAGATACAAATACAAATATTTAAAATAATAAAAGTATATTAAATACCTAGAAGGTAGGATTTATTCAAGCATAATTATTTTTAAGTAATCTAATAAAGAAGAAATACAGAATGAAAAAAACAAAAAAACATTTTATCAATGGCATCTGATCGACTATTAACTTTTGATTAATTTTGTTTGAGTAATTAGCTAGGCCATAAAATTTGTTTTCCTCTAATTCAAAAGGAAATAATAATTTTTACTTGAAAAGTTTAATATATTTTGTTAATTTTACAACATAGATTTTTAAATATGTAAAACGAAAAACTTATGAAATATTTATTATTTTATATATTAACAATTTTTTTTAAATTTATGATGAATTTTATTTGTCAATTATTTTAGTAATTTTTAATTAGAACAAAAGATGCATTATTGTGGTATATAAATTTTTATAATGAGATATAATTTAATTTAAATAATAATTAAAGATATTATTTTTAAAATTCAAATATTAGCAAGGCACCCTTTCCATAGTTATTTCGTTAATTAATTAATTGCCATATATATTTTTATTAGAAGAAAATAAAAAATATTTTAAACAAAACAATATTCCGAAGCCTATTAAAAAATTCATAAGAGGAAAAAATACTAAAATAATAAAAGTAATTTTTTTACTGTATTTGGTGCACAATATTAAAAATGAATCATTAAAATTCTTAAGATAGTTAAAATATGATAAACAAATGAGAAAATAATTTAAAATCAATTTTGAGCTTTTATAATCGAATCACTTTTATTTTTAAATTCATGTTATGATAATTAAGAAGCAATTCAATTATTGTTCTATCAGGTAAAATGATATTTGATGAAAATTTATTTTTTGTCTTAGTTTTTTTTACAACTAAAACTTTATACGCATTTGATTTAAAGATCTCCGGAAGTGATGTGCAACGCAATTTACAAGAATATCCTAAATTTATCGATTAATTTTAATAGCGTTACATGATATTTACGCGTGCGAAAACAATGAATTGTCTTGACTTAAACCTTGGAATAATGAACAGCATTTGATTTATAAAAACCCCGATGTACTGAGTGAAAAATTAAATGATGTATTGAATTCATGTATAAAAAATAAAACTAATTATGCTCAATATTATGTTACTGCTTTGAATGTAATTGAGAGTACTGGGATTACGTTTATCTTTAAAAATTGTAACTACTTAAAGATAATAGTAAACGATCAAGTGATACATTCGATTCATAACATTGAGACTTCATTGAAGAAACTTCGTAGAACGTTTGGAAAAGACTCGATTTCGATAAAAACAACTGATTGCGCAATAGTTGTTATTGAAAATTATAATTTCTATATTGATAATAGTAAACTTGAAAATTTAAAGGATGAAATAGATAAATGTAGATGTGAAAAGGCTAATAAGATAAACTTTGCAGATCTTACGGATAGAATAACTGTTCAAAGGTCAAATACATAAGCACAATAATGGGAAATCGACATTTTTATAAATAAATAAAAGTTATGCACAAATTATTTAATTTTTATAAATTGAAAGTATATTAAAAAATACACATAAATTACATTGTAGTTCGATGCGGTTATGTGGCGTGTCGGTATACACTATTAACTAGGTAAAAATAAAAAAACATAATGACCTGTCTCTCTATCTTATCAAATTACAGATAATAAAACAAATCTTAATCTTCATTATGAATTTAATCTTATTAATTCCTACAAACGTTTTGTTGAAATAACCTCAAATATTTTATGTATAACAGTAATTACTGAGCCTCATCGATAAAAACTCGCAGAGCCTTCATTTACTTATAACGATTGCAACTAAAAAAATTTTATTTTCACTTATTACATTTCTGTAATTAATTATGGTATATATTACTGTGTCATTGACCCGTGTAATTAATTAAATAAATACATAAATAAATGTATTTCAAATGATGTTACAATAAAATAATTATAAAGTTTTAGATTAAACTATGAATTATTTTTAGTGAGAAGAAATATTAAAATAGTTGGTACTTATTTTGTACACCTAATTATATTAAATTCTACGAATACAACATTAAAATTGCTCAAGTTTTATAATAGAAATTGAGATCATTTAGAGAGTAAATAATACATATGATTAGAATAAATGAAAAGTTTGAATCCAACGCACAGGTATAATTATATTGAGATACGATTTTTAACAAAAAAAATATCTTTAAACAGTATAGATATCAATAACTATTATTTAAATTACTATTTGTCGAACCATTATTCAAAAATATTAAATTATTTTTTTTCATTATAAATATATTATATTACAATTTATACATTTTTTACTATTAATAAAAATTATTTTAAACGAAAATTCTGTTTAAAGTATGTTTGATTAAAAAAAACACAATGCTTCCAGTATTTTACGGTAATTTAAAAAATAAATTATTTGATTCTTTTTATTCTTATTTTAAATGTAAAAGAAAAGATTTGCTCTTAAGACCACTAAATTTATGACCAAATAAACTTAAGTATATTGTAGAACTGATTTTATTAAAAAAAAAGTTATTTCATGGAATATAATTTTCTTCATTTACAAACAAAAAATTATCTTATAGAAATAACTTTAAAAAAAAATAGATTTAGTGTACCATAATTTCACTATTAAAAAAAAAATTGAACAATTATCTACCTATCTCGGTGAAATGTTAAGGTTTTACTAAGCATGTACTGTAAAATACATTTTCAAATCTATTGTTTAAGTAGTTAGCTCACAACAATGAATAATTATAGACTAGTTATTCGAATAATTTCAAATACACAAGTATTGTCATCGAGACCTTACACGCATGTCTCCCTCTACGTGGAGTGACCTTTTCAGTCTTGTACGGTGGTCCATATAGTATGCTGTTGTTTTATCCCAATTTGAATGACACTAAAAAATAACTCATTGTAATAGTATGCTAAATACTAGTTTATTTCTTTTTAAATTACTGTCTAGCAATCTTATTGTACCTACCTTATTATAACGTGAAATACTAAACCAGCGTTTATTATAACTATGTGTTCTTTTATGTATGCACATCATGTCAGATAAAATAACTCCGGGCAAGTTTATTTTTTAATTACAGGGTTGGTTTGGAGGGTTGACACACGACCAACGCGGTGGAGGCGTAAAATCAAAGGCTTTAGAATCGTTCACTATAAACCAAGAATAATAGTGTATACATAGTACATGTCGAATATAAATTTACTAGCGATAGTGCAGGGTTTTTTATATTGTTCTTTTTATACACATATCATATTATCTATCATCCCTCGTTTACTCGCACGATTGAGAGAGTTCGGCACGTTAAAAGTGTGCATGTGGCGGGGTTGACCGAATTTCACGGGTATTATCGTCAGAACCAATAGCTGTGCATTAGAGTCCACCCTCACTTTCAACCCTTAATATCGTGGCCCAGGGCGCAGTCGTCTTCAGTCTCTACCGGACAACTATCACTTCACCACTAACTGATTATAACAGTTTTTCTGCCGCAGATCGATCTTTACGACGAATTCAGTATCATTACATCATTAAACAAGAAAATTCTAAGATTTTATATTGAAACAATTTTCGGATTTACACATCAAAATCGAGGTATGTACAAATTTATGTTATTTTATAGATATGATAAATTTGAAAAATTCTAGAAAGAAGAAGTATTATTTCTCAGCATTTTTGTACTTAAAATATATTAAATTTATTATTATTATAATTTTATCTCAATAAATACAACCAAAATGTATTCAACATTTACTAACTATANTTATAATTTTATCTCAATAAATACAACCAAAATGTATTCAACATTTACTAACTATAACCTTGATAACAATTTATATTGAAACTTTTGCTATTTAATGTCATTTACTATGAATAAATCAAGTATTAGTTATAGTAATAAATATTTAAACGGCTATTAATTTAATTCTAGGACAACTTAAGACATTGTTCATTTTTTTTTTTACGAAAAAATAATTTACCAAATTCAACGTAGAAAATTAATACATAAAATGTAATCAACTATTCATTATTTATTGTTCTATGTAGTATATATATTATTAATAGAATTTATTTGTATTAAATTTGGAGAATAAAAAACTTTTATTCAACTTGTATACTTTACAAAAATTAAAAATTATTATATAGTGTTATCAAAGATAATAAACATAAGCTAGATCATTTTAATCGTGAATTTTGGAATATTTTCTCTAAGAGACAACACAAATGATCGCAAACATTTAATTTTCAACTAAGTCAGAAATCTATTTAAAAGAAAACATTAAATTTGACTAGCATTCATTTTCATTCAGTTGCAAATACACTATTATATATTACTGTAAATATATTATATTTTGAATACGTTTTTTCTATGTTATTATTGGTTACAAGACTTACATTGCTTGACCGTATAACTAAATATTTACAGAAATTTTGAGAATTATTTAGAAAACTACAAATTAGTCTTAATGTTAACCTTTAGGATCAATGTATTAAGAAAATAATAACTAATCCCGTATAAATATACCTTTTATGCGATTTTAAATCGCTTGACTATTAGTAGAGCCATTGAATGCCAGACGTAAAATTCACCGTTACCCGCCTCAAACGAGACCAATACCTAGTAATCAGAGTAAAGTGAAGACCATTTCTCAAGTCTCTGTTTGCTCGAAAACGTGCGAGATTAAACCCTTTTTATTATGTTAAACTCCTCCCCGTTCATATTAAGCCCTTTCCAGCGTATCATTAAAAATATCACGAATCAAACCCCGCGTAACCCCAGCAGCAGGTAGCACTCAATATACTGATATAATAGCTTTGATTTTTTTAGATGTTGGCCACCGAAGAGTCGTTAAGGTTCGCCTCCAGGTTTGGTCTATTAGATCATTTTCCACGGCTGTACGTGGACACTATGTGGGCGAGATTTAACCAGCCTGGAGCGTTCGTCGCCAATGAGGCGGCATCTCAAATGGAAGGATACGCCAGAGCTGTTGCCCTCTCGAGGAACGTTCAAAAACAGATGACCAGCAACGGGGGAGGAAAACCGAAAAAACGATACATATGCGAGTATTGTGACAGGGAATTTAGCAAATCGTACAATCTTCTAATACACGTTCGCACGCACACTGATGAACGACCCTATCCATGCGATACGTGTGGAAAAGCTTTTAGAAGACAAGATCACCTTAGAGATCATAAGTGAGTCTCTCTTAAATATTTTATCTTTTAATGTTATTGCATAACATTAAATAAGAGATTGATTATATTTATGGTTTATTTTATTCTATTTTTTAGATATGTACATATGAAAGATAAGCCGTTTTCATGCGAATCTTGCGGAAAAGGATTTTGTCAAATGCGAACATTAGTAAGTCACAGGAAAAATGCTCAGTGCCAGTGGTATCAATATCAAAGACACCAAGCAATGGCTACACAATTAGCAGTCCCACTCATTGTAAACGAACGACTTACAGACTTTAGTATACGAACTTTACTAGGAATTAAAAAGGACGATAATTAATCGTAGTTTATTTTGTAGTTAAAAATAATAAGAAATATTAAAACAAACAATTTTTTAAACTAAATTGTAAAATTATCTATTTTTATTTACTATTATTTTGTGTATATTTTTGTAAACTAATGTATTTTTATAAAGATTATGTTAAGATACATGTTTAAATAAAAAACGATATTTTGTTTAAAACATAATGATAAATAATTTTTCTAATTATTATAAATATTCTAGCACTGTGTCAGGATGATTAACTTGACTATTGTTCAAGTTGCACTATCGGTACAAAAGTAATCAAAATTTTAGTATTTTGAATTTATTATTATTTTTAGTACTATGAGTGCGAGAAACAATTCATATGTATTTATATCGGAATTCGTGATATTTGACATTTTTATGTAATTCAGTATAGTTTAATAGTCACTATCTAAATATACAAACAGCTGGCAAAAAAATGTACTTGAACTCAATAAAATAGTTAAAAATAAATTAAAATACAATGTATCCTTTAAAGATCCACAAGAGTTACATTTTTACTTATGAAGATTAAAACTTTAAATCCGTTAATGCCAAAACCATTTTTTTGATATATGACCTTATTCAATATAAAAATGTCTTTTTAGTAGACATTTTAATGAAAAATGTAGTACCAAATTCATAGAAAAAGTAAGGATTTAGGTCACTAATAAAAAATAATTAAGTATATAAATAATAGGGGTGTTACGTTTTAAAACACTTAAAATTTCAAAATTTACATTGATCTTATTTTAAACGTTTAAACTTATGTTTTTAGCAAGTTATTTAGCAACCCCTCTACATAATATGATAGAAAACACCAATCTAAGTGCCTTATATTCTCCTACAAATATTTTGTTCGAGAATTATCTTTATTCCAATAGTATGGTAGTTGCAATTAGGTGTTGAATGACATTGAACATACAACTTAAAAGACCATAATCGCTATCGTCTTCCGTATACGGTAAAATTATATATAACGTACACTGTTTCAACTGTGATACTTGATAACAACAGTAGTCACGTTGAAATACATTGAATAACATAATATTTAAAAACTGTAGAGATTATTTTTTATTTTACAGTCTAAAGAATATCACATCATAATATAGTATTTGAATCTAATGGTCACAAATATGTCAGTAAAACAATTGTCTATATACATAAAAGGGGCGTTTCATAAAAATACTATGAGTTCACGACAATAGTTTACTATTTCTTTTTTAACTTACAAAATGATGTATACAATTTGATATATTGTACTGTTCGATAAATAACTAACTAGTTAGTTAACAAAATTTTAATAAAAAAAAATACTCAAAACAAATATTAAAATGTTTTTTATACGTTGTATAAAAATAATTATTTTTTTATTTAGAGTTATTTACATTTTGAGATTTATAAGCATTAGATTATGTAAACATAAATAGAATAGTATTTTAATATGTAATTTTTGATTATGTTCAATGGTATCAGGTCTAAAATTACATGTTATTTACAGATAGTTTGACAAACTAAAGGTTATCTTTCTATAATAAATGCTTAAAAACGCAATTTAATGATTATTATTTTTTATAAATACCATATGTTCTAAAATATATCATCATCAATTGTTTTAGCATTTATGCCGCGTTTTTATTTTTGTCTATTCAATTAAGGTTATCTATGATATGTACTGACTAAAAATTATAGGATTGTTTTGTTTATTTCAAACATTATCTATAAAAAAAAACCCAATATTTTGAGCAAACATTGCTTTCCTGTTACTCGAATAATTCGTTTCGGTTTCGATTTTTATATTTCAATACCTATTTTATTTATTGGCAATAAACACCCATATACGGTTGTCAACCATACGGCGATTCCTATTCATAAGGTAAATAAAAAAAACTTCACGGTTCTACCCTTTAAACATGAATTTTTTGTGTCCATGACCTCATTTATAACAATTCAATGGAGAGATATAATGGAGTATATTACGGTATAATACAGTTTAACATAAAAATAAATTTTAAAAAATTATTAGGTGTGAAGCGTGCTTCATGTATTTTAGAAGAAGCACAATCAACTCAATACAGACAAAATTATCTACCAATGGTCTATTCCATTATCGTACGTCTTTATATTGCTATAAAATGACTTGATAATTTCAGTTGTCAAAATAGTAAAAAAAATATTTAAACATTTTTTTAGTAAAAGTGTTTTTGCAAATTAGTGGCTCATTTAATGGAATTATATTCAATAAATACTCAAATTTTGAAGTAAAAAACTGTATTGTTTGCTAAAATTTTAATTTGATATTATTTTTGTATGCACATCTGTTGTCCTAATACATTTTATACTAATAAACTGTCCTAGTATATTAGATTTATACAAAACTTATACTAAAATACTAAACTTAACTCTTAAGCGTCCCACGCTTACGATTAATAATACAAGAAATAATTGCATTTTACGGAAATACATTTCATAAACAATACAGTAAGAATGAGCAAGAGTTAAGTCTGGATAAACGGTTGCTTATAGTTGAATTTTCCACTTAATTGACCTCTTCAGTACACTGATGGATATCTCTTTGTCGGTTATGCCAAAGGCATTTATTCATATCCCTTCCTTATTGTGCATCCAAACGATTAACTTTTGACTTTGGAATCACATCAAAGAAGAATATTACAAGCCTAAGGTGATGGATTGTTATTTTGGTTTTTCGTTTTGCTATGCAAATCAGGCGCCGTACTTTACTGTGGTGCTCGTAAGTAAATTGCTTCTCACAACACCCGCGGCAATAAAATTTATTATGGTGTACTGTAAGACGTTGTACAGTATACGCGGAAAAGTGAAATCCATTACAAAAGAAAACTGTAATATTCCCTTCAAATATATTTAATATCAAAATAAATAAGGCGACCAAATGTTTTATATTTCAACAGTCTGTTTATCATTTTGTACATACGTAACATTTGTTTCGCCTTAATAACTACGGTAAAACATTATATCAACATAAATCGCACTAAACAAAATTATTAATATTATGAATATAATATAGAATATTTAATTATTTACTTTTATTATCAATAGTATATTAATTATTATACATAAAGAATAAATAGTTTGTAATTTTGTTATTCGACAAACAATTTAAAATTCTACGTTGATGTGGTTTTACTGAGAAATAATTTAATGCGTTGTTAAAATTACTTAAAGAATTCCGTTGTTTTAATCATTTTTTTTTAATACTCTATTAAAACGACTAATAAAGAAAAAATGTATTTTTTATAACATTTCTGTCGTTACACTTAATAATTTTTCTATATAAATTTATCAATATATAACATTGACTATTTGGGTCTTACTGATAATGATAGTAAAAAACATCTGTAACAATAGTAATGATATCTGATAAAATAGTTTATTTTTAATTATTTATTAATTAAATAAAGCAAAGTTCAAAAGAATCTAAGTGTTCAAACTTTATTCATTAAGAAAGCCCCACGAAAAAAATTTTTTTTTCAAAATCTCATCAACGGAAAAATATTATTTTATTTTATACTAAAATATTATCTTTTTAAAAATACTATATCGTCGTATTTTATATTTTTAAAGAAGTAAACATAAATGCCGAATCAATTGAAATACATAAGAGTAATTTTACAATACTACTTAAGTTTTAAACTTAATTTTATTCACAACAATTAATTATCATTACATTATAATAAATGATTCGAAAATTCCCATACGTCATAAAGGTACTTCTATTATACACGTTATTTTTGTATACAAATTGTGTAATTTTAACATAAAATATAGAAAATTCGTATAAAGTATAATATTATCATTACTATTTATCCAAATTTTCCCTTACAGTGTATGCATAAAATCTCTCAATACATAGGGTCAAGTGGGGTAAATGTAAATTGGGGCAAAAGGAAAAAAATATTATTTAAAATAAATTATTAGTGATTATAGAATTCGATAATATTATAACCACAGTACACATAAGGTATAATATTGTGCAATGATAAAAATATGGAAAATTTGAGGATATGTACAAATTGTTATCACTCGAGAAAGTGTTTATGATTATTTTAGATTATATTTTCTGCTCAACGGCTTTTGAGAAGGGCATCTTCATCAAAAATATAAGTAGAACAGTACAGTTTGAACTAAATTGTCATTTCATATTTACTTATTTACTATACGGCCCTAAAACTAGTTTAATATCACTTTTTCTATGAAATTATATATTTTTTGTAAAATACAAAATAAAAATCAATTGGGGTAAATGGAAATTTGATTTTGGGGTAAATAGAAATATTAATAACAAATATAATTTGAAATATTACGATCTTTATCATTTTTTTTTCAACTTCAGAGTGCGTAATTATATAAAAAAAAACATATTAACAGTTGTAGAAAATAAAATTTCATTAGAACCTTCAATGTCAAACACTTTTATGGACTAAATTTTTCTAACATCAAGTAATAATATCTCAGTAAACCCAAAAGATATAATATCTATTTTTTCAATTCAATTAATACAATATAAAACTAACAATACAATTTGTGTTACAAAAGACCAAGTTCCTCGTCTTAGAGTAACAAAGTATGGTGAAGTTTTAACAAATAAAAATGTGTTAAAATAATTGGAGGAAGCAACCTCAAAGAAAAAGCTAATCAAATATCCTAGAAAACTTGGGAGACATAAGAAAGCTATTAAAGATGTACAAAATATTGTGTTGGAACAATCAATTGATAATATTGATGATGAGTTTATCATTCATCAGGAGATGATTGTAATGACAATTCATTAGATTTAAGTATTGAAGAAGTTTTATACAATACACCAATTTGGTCTCAAATAAAACCTGGAGTATTTCTTTTAATAGATTTTATTGGAGGGAACCGTAAGAAACAACATTTTAAGTATGTATGTTTAGTTAAACGTATAGATGAAGATGATGGGGATATTTTAGTCCGAGGATTAAAAAAAAATAATGAAATTGGAACTGATTTTTATATTGTTGAAAATGACTTGTCAGATATTACAGTAGAGATGATTCTTGCAATATTACCAATACCAACTGAACATAAGAAGAACAGAAAAACGATATACACATTTCCTGGATACATAAATGTCGATGAAAAATAATCAGTTTAGGCACTATGTTACATACATTAATTTATGTGATATATTTTGAAACTAAAAATGCTGTTAGTTTGTTATTTTGTTTATAATTTTTACTTTACATTGTTCTTTTTTATGTTAAATTATTATTATCACTATTATATGAAAACAAAAGACTGTTAATATATTTTGAAAGTTTATGAAATAGTAAGTAAGCATTAAACTGTACTAAATTATGTTAAAATAATAAAGATTACCAAATTATTTGACTAATTTAATTGTAATTTATGTAATTCAAACAAATTTTCATTTGCCCCAGGCTTATAACATTATCAACTATACTTTAATTTGCATTTACCCCATACACAGTATACTATTTGGGACAAATGGAAATTTGTAGGTATCGAATATATGAAATAATATAATGATAGCTGTAACAGAACAATTTCATTTGCCCAATATGTTTGTTCAATATAACACTTGCTGTTGGAAATAGTTATTTTCATTTACCCCAGAAGTATGGGGCAAATGTACATTTTTTATGAAATTTTATATTATTTTTTCTATTAAAATAATCAACTATTTTAACGTTTGATTGAAATGTTAGACACATATTGTATATAGTTAAATAGTTTTTATCTAAACCAAAATTAAAAAAAATTATTACTACATGAATCTAATAAAAGTTGTAAAACATGTAAATTTCATTTCCATTTACCCCACTTGACCCTATGTAAAAATACATCATAATTTTTTGTCCCCAAAATCTCGGTTTCTTAAAAAAAGTGACACGCATTGTTTTTCCGTGTACTCTTCATAGTCCTTCTGTTTACGCCATTGAGTATTCCACATAAATTACGCCGATCAGCCGGCAAATATTTCATTTACTTGTTGTTCATCCACTTGAAAAGGACATTCATTATTATATACAATATTATTGTTTAAATATAAATATTCTTAATTCACAATACATAAACTCTCAAAAACAGTTATAAAATAAAATATTTCAATTACTTCTTTTTTATTGATTTTAAACGTTTAAAATTGGTCACTCCTATAATCTTACCAGATTTATCATCGTTTTTTGTAACGTTTAGTATGGTTGTTGTATATGTATGTAACTACATAATGTAGTTATTATCGCTAGGCGCAAATTAATTGTATTCTCTAGTAAATACTTCTATGCTACTAGTAATTATGATGTAATTTACAGTATGTGTCATAATAGAGGGACGGTGTGGCCGAGTCGGTAACGCAGCAGTGTTTGACGCGCACTGCCTCGGGTTCGAATCTCGGTCACGGGCGGCTTTATTTGTCGAACAGGAGATCAGTTTGGTAATTGGAGTTGCCACCCCTCTCTCCGGCAACGAACTAACCACCCGTCCCGGAGTATAAATGGTTAAGAAACCTCCTCCTTTGGGAAAGACCGCTATGGCCCTTAATGGGCTGATAAAGCAATAAAAAAAAATGTGTCAATATATTATTATTAGCGCACATCTCTAATTCATTTCTCTTCAACTCGCTAATTCAATATTTGTAATCGTAATTGTACTCAAAAGTTATACATATGTATACCTTCATTAACATTGTAAATAATAGCATAACATAAATTCATCAGATAAGCATTTATCAACGTCGGATAACTTTTCTATTTGATATTTCTATTATTAGACACTGTGGAACAGTACCTTTTATTTTTTTTAGGAGGGGCTTACATAAAAATAATTGTTTTACCTCCTTCATATGGTTCAATATACAAATATTTTTAGATCCTGGGGATGTTTTTACTCGTATCCCTCCTCCCATAAATACGCCTATGATTACGCATATTTTATTTTTTGTAATTTTTACTCATCTTCAGATTATACCTAAAAGAAATAATTTTTAGTTTATAGAAATTTATGTCTTCTATATCTTAAATAATACTTATATTAAAATGATTCCGTTTTATAGGTCAAATAATTATTGACGTGAACAATTAACAATTGGACTGAAGAGCATAAAGTGGAAAAATGCGGTGGTATTTGAGGCCGAAGTAATTATAGTTAAAATTTATAAAAGAGTAAAAAATATTGTGAATGCTTACCTACAATGTACTTATAGTAACTTAGGATGATTGATTTATTATTGACTACTAGAAGATTTTACTTCGAATAATAATGTTGAAAAATTTTTTTAACTTTTCGATTAGTATTTAATTGTTAATCGTACCAGTTCAAGACATCTTTGACTATTTTCTTAATTTGCTAAATATTTTTTTTTCTTAAAGATATAAATATTAAAATTGATTTATTTTTATGAACCAGAATAATTATCAAGTTAATAGTAAGAAAAAATTCTAAATAAATCAATTTGTTTATTAAAGTATTATAACTTGCAAAATACTGCAAATATCATTTTCTATGATATGATCTAGTTAAATATGTATGTTGCTATTAAAAAAAAATTAAGTTGGTACCCTTAAAATTAATAAAGAATGAACCTCAAAAATATATAACCATGATTAAATATTTTTCATTGATTTAATATCAATTTATAAATCAATAAATAAATAATAATCAAAATAACCAAGAAAAAAATTCTCAAAATTATTATAATTTTAGGAGACAGTTTTAATGGTTAACAATAATCAATATTTTTATTTATTGAAAATAAAATCTATATATTTTTTAAGGTGAAGTAAGCATGATTAGACAACTGGGGGAAGTAATGCTTAACGGCTAGTTCCCCCGAATGGTCTAAGGATGTACACATAAAAAAAAAACAAAAAAGTTAAATGATTATTAAAGTATATTATAATGTATTTATTAGTCTTACTTTTTAATTTATACCAACCTAAGTTGTTTAATTTGGGAACATAATCCAACAAATTGATATAACTTAACTAAAATGAATTAACTAACTTCACATTCTACTCGTTATTGTTTAGTCATTTAATTTAGTTTAAATTACATTAACTTTATTTTTAGATGATATAACAATATTTGTAGAGAGGCTCTTTAAATCATATACAAAATCTAAGAGAGCCAAAGATCACTTGGGTTAAATCAATTGCTTTAATAAAAAATGTTACAAGAAAAAAAATTATTTAAACGTATCTCAAAAGCTGTTAATATTCAATTATTTTTTCTGAACATCATTAAATAACAACGCAGCCTATAAAATGTTAACTTTATTTAGATTTATTCCGAGTTATGAAATGCAAATTATTTTTTATAATTATGTAACATGTTATATTCAGTACTGATTATATAATTATTATCGCAAATTAATAAGTCGTAAACTATAAGTTTTCTTTTTTTTTCTTTTTTTTCTGGTTGTACTTTTTCTTAATACTTAACTTGGGAGCAAATGCCAGAAAGTTAATTTTTAAATAAATTTAAGGATTTAAAAGGATTATTATCACTATAAAATAAATATTATGTAACATAGTAATAGTATTTTTGCACTATGTCTAGACTACAGCTGAATATAATAGTTTATTTGAAACTATTAAATTTTATTTTATATAATTCAGAAATGATTTTTGAAGAAAAAAAAATGTTTACAATACGTCTGTTATACAACCGTTTTTGCACCAATGAAGAAAAACATTAGTTTAATAAAATTGTTTCTATTTTAATGATTAGTAGATATCGAAATTTAATTTTATCTAGAAAAATCGGGGAATGTCCACACCGATATTCAGTCGTCAAGGTTCGGCTTATCGATGGAACATTAAACTTTGGCGGGTGCCTATTTTCACAGATTGTAAATAGAAATCTCAGTGTATTCTATAAATTACTGTGCAGTCAGCACCGTGCGACCATATGTAGTTTGAACTACGTTCTCACAACCATGTCTTTACAAATTTAAATAATTCTTTATTAAAAATTAATATTTTTTTATCATAATATCCCAATGACTACTCTATAAGATTACAAATTTGACCACTGGATTGTATCATTAATCTCAGTTATCGTTTTACATTTTTCGAAAAAAAAAGTACTAACAATGGCAGATTTATTGGAATGTATCGTAGCCACCGGCAGTAGTGTCAGCCGCGACGAACTGTAAGTACTTAATTATTTTATAAAAAAACGATGCAACACGTTTTTATAAGGATACTTTAAAATTTACTATTTAAGTTAAATTGATGATAAGTTTTTTTTTAATACCAATAATTATTAAATATAAGTATTTTTATACAAATAAATAATCAATATTGTTGACATATTTTACGCGTACTATTTGAATAGTTTTTGGAGTGATATCGTCTAGAAAATTTAAAAATAAAATGCTTTCATATCAACGCCAGGATTTATGAAACAAAAAACCCGGACACCTAAAATAAATAATTTTAGCATAACTTGTGAATTTTATTATTATTTTACTGCCCACATATCAACTCAATAACAGAAATCTTTACTAGTATAATTTAAATTAGGTAATATTCACTACATACAAGTCACTAATGCGACTTGTATTAAGTACACGGACAATAAGTTCATTTTTTAATCTCAAAAATAAAAATGTTGTAAAGTAACTTATATAAATTATATTTATTTTTATTTTTTGATAATTAAATATAAACATTTTGTACAATAAAGTAAGATTTAAGTCTGTGGAAATAATTTTGTTGAAAAATCTATTATGTTACTCTATGTTTTGATTGTTTATTATCATATAAACAATAAAGCTTAATCAATTTCTGTATTAAAATTTTTTTTATTTTCATTACACGCTATTATAATATTTTACCGTAAATTAATACATTTATTTATTGAAAATGAATATAAAAATAAAAATTTTCTTTTTTTTATATATATTGATCTTACAATACAGTTTTACTCGCTATTTAGCTGTAATTTTCGTTTTAATTACAATAAATAGTTATTATTTTTTCTTCCATATATCAATTTTCTTTTTTTAAGAACGTCATTGGAACAATTATTATATTGTTTTAACAGTCATAAGTTTGTTTTTATTTTATTGTTAAGAAATAACTTTTTACTAATTTATACTCTTAATAATTCATTTAATATTTTTAAATCTTCAAAATATAAATTAATAATAATCATACAACTGATTAATAATTATTCAATTTTTCTTGTTATAGGATTGATTTTGGTACACCAGCGGAGAAATCTCCAAAAAAAAATTTAAATATGTATAAAAAATACAAAAAAATCAAAAAAAGCTTTGGACGTGAAATAACCAAACATTTCAAGTTCAGTGATGCTTTTTACGGGAATCGGGTTACATATCCAGCATTTTAATAAGAATTCAATTAAAAATTTCGAGTACGTCATTGAAAAAAACTAAAATTATAAATTTATTACATGTTACAATTAATTTATGGACTATGTTATTGGTATAAATGTTTTGTAATTTTACAGTTTTTTTTTTTTTTTTTTTTTTNTGTTTAATAAATAATAAAAAATGGATTTAATTTGTTTGTAGTTGTACATTATTTTTATATTCCTCATATGAAAATGTATTTAAAGTCGATTCTCCCTAAGTGAGTGGTCGAACTGTTTTAATTTGTTTACGATAATTTAAAAACATTAATTAGGGTAAATATTATCATGGTCTAAAATATTTCAGGTTTGTGTACTGTAAAGTGTTAAGTAGTTAAGTGTTGACTCATACGTACATTTTATACTAGTAAATACACATGAAATGTCAAGTGGTCTATGTTCGTTGACAGACGGTACTCTGTGTGTCAAAATCACCCCAAAATCGTGTGTGGTTTTCATCCCTATGTGTTGAATGTATTAAAATTTGTTGCTGAAGGACCTCAATTTACGAGGCTTTAAATATCGCGCGTGTTCTGGTGCGTGAAAACCGACACATTTTCAATAAATTAATAAGGAAGGTAAATCTTTATAATGCACGTTACAAAAACATTTATTTGTTGGGTCCGCCATAGGTTCTCGAAATAAACGGGTGAATTAATGAGTACAAAAAGGGCACCCAAGAGGTGTTAGGAAAATAAATTGATATCACACCGAACTCGGCTTATGAATAGATAAACAAACAACCTATGTGTGATACTTGAACATTCCATGTGTTTTAAACTCCGAAAAATCGACGATAAAAATAATATTTATTTTCACAGGGATGTGGTAGTGATCTTTGATCTAAAACCGCTTTTGAATATTGTAACAGTTATTGTTAAAAATCTATTCCAGTTTATTATCTACGAAAAACAATATCTACAAAAATATTTGAACAACTATGATTAATTGTTCATTGCATTCACTCTGGCAACTTATTTTTTGGTTAACATTTTAGTAAGAGTACTCAATATTTCTATTTCTCGCAGTATTTATTTTTTAAGTAGCTAAAATTTTTATTAGACATTTCCTAATGAATTACAATTCTAATTAACATATTGATTGCTTCATTTTTAAGACTAATAAAAACATCAATATTTAACTAGATATTTCTAAATAGAAGTTGTCAGTAAAAATTACTTAGTACTATTTCCCATCACTTAACGGAAATATGATATTCTGAACTCTTTACATAAATTTTAAAGCTATGGCTCTATTTTCGTAAATAAAATACTAATTTTTTAATTATCAAATTTTTCTAAGGTGGTAGAATTTTATGTCTTATTGTTGTATGTATTTATTTTTATCTTGAACTTTAAACGTAAAATGGATACATTGTACATTCTTAACATATTTTGTAATTTGAACTGAGAAAATTTTGTTATCTTAGCAGCCAACTAATATCAAACAATTGCTTTGATAAAACAATTTATATATATATATATGTGTGTTGAATTTTACCCCGTAAACTGCTTTGTGTCATTAAATATTATTTATACTACAAATAATAATTTAAATAAAAAGTCAATGTGATAAATTTCGACGAAAAATCGTTCATGCAATGTCTTTTATTTAATTATCAAATTATTTATTTTAAAATTAATGTTTATCGTAAAAAGCAATAGGCTTTGACAAACATTGGTTATGGACCTTAGTTGCAAATTGTCTTGGGTAAAAAGAATTTTATTGTTTTAGAACTAAACAACAAAAGATATAATTCAGGACAATATTTTCAAATATCTAAGATAAGAAAATAATTTTGTTTGTTTATTGTAAAAATACAATTATAATAGCCTTCATATATGTAGAAATAATTCACAATAGTAATGTAATGTTGAAAAGTATATAGATAAATCGCATACCATGAACTTGAAATTTTGTTTAGTTTGTTGTTTAAAACTACGAAACGTAATCGAAATAAAAAACGAGAAACACCGGATCACCATAACAATATTAAACAAATATTTTTTATTAAAACTAATAATAAACAGGCAAACAATTTTTTTTTTCAACTTTAATTTGTTACTTAATTTTAAGCCCTTCTTTTTAAAAAGAGATTTTTGGATAAATAATGTTTTTAAATTAAAAAAATGTCTAATATATAAATCATTTCTATCATAAGTTTTACATACTTATCTAAATTGTTGTAATTATCGTAGTTTGCCATGGGGACTGAAGGGGCTTTAGCTCTCATTAAATATTCATAACCCCATTAATAAATTTAATTTTTAGGAGATGGGAAGATAAAGCAATGTGTTAAACTCTTCCTATCTAATTTATTATTCAATATTTTAAAATAGCTTCACGGACAAATTTTTATTAATAAATAATAATAAAAAATAATATTTTTAATATTAATTATTGTTAATAAATGACTATTGTTTGAATTATATCTATGACTCGTATCCACAAGTGGATATGTTACAAAAATGGATTTTGATATTTTTTATAATTTCTATAAAAAAAAATGTTATATGGCATGTGTTAAAAAATTACCAGTTAATTATATCGGAAAAGTTTGTTTTTTGCACTTTATTTCTGTAAGACACCATTGAACGCTTAAATTGTTATGGTCTATTGAAAGATCCTAAAAGTAACATAAAAGTTTTTAGAAAATAGCCACAGAATACAATAATATAATAGAAATAATAGACGCAGTTTTTCGGATTACCAGCAAATTCAATCGTCTGTTAAATTAAAAAACAATAGACTATGTTTTACCAGTATACTAATAAAATATTGTTTAAAAACTACACTAATTACAACTGTGAAATTTAAATTTCTCGAAAATATTTTAAGCTGACTATAAAATTCCAGGGATAATAATTATCATCAGATGTCATTAAAAGAAGGAAGACAAAAACTACATTTTTTCACAGGACAACTACATTTTTTTCAAAGTAAAATATTTGTTGCACGCTTTAACCTTTTAAATTTTTATATACTAAGTAAAAAAAGTCTGATTAGTTAATTTTAGACTTTCTCAGGAAAGTAAAATAGCGCTTAAAATTCAATGGCTTCTATGTAAATAAATATTTTTTAAGTGCAAAAACTATATCTACCTAATAATACTATCATAACGTTTTTTAGTAGATGACACATAACACCCATTTTAAACAAATCTTCAAATAACTTAAAAATACATTTTTGTGACTTAAAATTGTATTATACAATCTACAAATTGTTTACTATGTTTCAATTTAAGATATTATAGATAGTATGGTATATAAAATAATAAGTTAAATTTTTGTCAAACTCAAAATTTAACGGTTAATTTAAAAATTATTTAAATTAGATTTATTAGTTATCAATAAACGTATTATTAAAATGTCTTTAATATGAAATATTAATCAGAAGAATTCAATATTATGCCGGAGCACTATAACAATTTGAACAAAAAAAAATGTCAGCATAAACATTCTAGAAAATATTACTTTTTTATTTTCTCTTAATTTATAAATCATATAAAGTGGCCTAAAAAGATCTGTTTGAATAGACACTTAATCTATCAAATAACAATATTAAAAATATTAAACTCTAAAAGCAACAAAAAAATTACTAAAATGTTAGTAATTTAAAAATATATATATTTTTAATATAGTTTATATTAAAAATTATATCAGCTACAAGTGATAAATTTTTATAATTATAATTTTCTAAATTTTGAATTTTTTAAAAGTCAGTAAAATTGTTTACAATTTATAAAAATAACGAATTTTTATTTCAATTTTTTTTTGCTAATGCGTTTTCTGAAAACGAAGAAAAATGACTTTTGCTATTTAGGACTTTGTTAAAATCACATAGGTCAGTTAAAGAGCATTGAAGATTTTTAGAACTATATCTTTAAATGTTCTTTCATGAAAGAGCTTTAAAGTTTAGTTTTTTTTTTAGTTTCATGTTTAGATATTGACTTCATAAATTATTATTGACATTTGTAACCAGTTTTGAAACCAGTTTTTCGTAATTATTGGATACATTTTTAATTATGATAAACTTGGCTTCAAAAGAATATTAGACTTGAACTAAATATTGATGTATTACCTTTAATTATAATTATTATAATAATTATATTATATATATATATTTAATAATTATTAAACCAATATCAGTAACTAAAATTTTTATAGTAAAAAATTTTACTCCTAATAATAACAATTCAGATATTTAATTAAATGGTTGATATGCTGTTATTGTTATAATATAATTGAGAACTTGTTATCTATTTTATAAGAAATTACTTGAGAATCACTAAATATTAAATACTAATAATTTTGTTAATTTTAAATTAGGATTATATTAATCATAATGGTATACAAAAATTTAAATAAATGACATAATGATGAAGTAAAAATTAAATGATTTTTATACTGTAGATCATACATAGATGATTAATTAAAAAAATGTAAATATTGATCGCGAGTTTTATTTCATATTTTCAATATTCTTGTTAACAACAGTCTCAATTTTTTCTAGATCTTTTAGCTTCTTAAGTATATCTTTCCTTTTGTTACTTATAAGTTGTTCATCCTTATTTAATTCCTTCAAAGTTTCAAAGCATCTTTTCCTTTCATTTTTGTTATTTTCCTTAATTTCTTTGTACATTGCATGTTCATCATTCACTAAAACAGCTGCAAAATTCAATTTACTTAAAAAAGTTATTTTAATAATTGACATAAATAATTATTTATAAATAACAGGTTATAACCTGCTAACGTGACCTGCACTCTAGAGGAATCGCAATAGAAGTACTTAAATGACACAAATATTAAAAATAATAATATTTTATTGATATTATTTACAAAATTCTGTCCGAGTAAATAGCACTTAAAACAATTAAACTATTAGTTTATATTATATATTCATAAAAAAATCATCAGTGAAGATTTTGGAATTGGTGCTGAGTGGAATTTTTTTTTGAGTCTATCACGGAAAGTGATGGTGTTGATAGCACAACAAAAATTAAGTTACTAAACATAGCTTACAGAATGTGCGTGAAAACCTTATATTAACTCCATAGCATTGTATAATTTTTGTGTTAAACATATAAAACGAATAAAATATATTTTTGTTCCTTCAGGTGAAATTAATGAATACGAAAAACTGTTAAAACAAAGTTATGAATACTCCAGGCACAAGGTAAATTCATAGAATAGTACCTTTGAAAAAATACTCGATTAAGTGTAAAACTTCATCTCCGCTCAATATTATGAAACAAAATGTTTCAAGTAAAATATATATATTGTGTATAATTGTCTGTTATAAAAGTTTTATAATATGAATTCTTAAATAGTTAAATTATTTACTTATTTTTTGTAAATAGTAATTAATGAATTTAGAATTGACTTTAAATTCAAAATTAATAAATAATTAGAAAATAATGTTTTGAATATTGAGTCATTATAATAATTTACAAAATAATAAATTTAAAGTAATTTTAAAGAAAAACCAATATGTTTCGGTAAAATAACAAAGTTAAAGTTTTTACCATAGAATGTAAACATGTGTAACAATATTGTGTGAAATTCTTATAATATAATTTTTTGTCCCACTGGAGGATTAATAAGTTATAGTTGCTTAAAAATCGTTATTTTAGGAATTTGAACATTTTTAAACTTGTTTTACTAAAACAGGACTTTAAAATACAATTAAATTATATTACTGATAAATTTAAAAATGATGTAAAAAAAATGTATTCAAAAAAATTGTACTTCATCGTTAATTTGTATATTGAAAATGTCGATTTTTTTTACAAAAAACAAAACAATTATTATTAAATTATAATATTCAACAAAAAAACGTCAAATAGCTCATAATAAACCGTAACACAAAGAAAACAAATCTATACTGATATTTTTTCGATGGTCTTTAATTTCCCAAATCCTTTGTCCCGATTTTTCTCGTGTTGTAATTCTTAATTATTTGTGTAATGTTTATTGTGTTTATCTTTATCAGGCGACTATTGTCCACTTGTGTGGTTATCATGAAATTAATTCGGATCTAATCGTCACTGCCGACGTGTCAATGTACTTGTTTTCTAATAAAACCATATTAAACTATTTTCAAAATATGTAAATTATTTTACATTTAAATTAGCCGCCTTATTCATTTGGTCTTAAAACTTCCAGTTTAGTTATTTTTATCTTTTTGATTATGAATAGTTATTATATATAATTATTAAAACGATTACTAAGGTCAGAAATTAAAAATAAAATTAGGGGCTTGCCCTCCTTCAAAAATTATAAATTTATATTTATTGTAATATATAAAAAGTTTTTAATCGTGAGAAAAATACATCTTACCCTTTCAAAATATTATTCTGTATTCTGTTACCCCAAATTTGCTCGAGTCACGCAAACATAGTAAATGTATTGCATACATACAGCACAGGCATATTTTATGTATATTTTACTGTATATGCTTACCCGCAGAATATGATTCTTCGTTCAATAATGTTAGCGCTATGTTTTCTTGAGTTTTCTCGAAGTACCATTTTCTAAGCTCATCGTTCCAAATAGGATCTATAATTATCTGTGTATTTGGTTGAGTACTTAGTTGTAATTCACCTTTGAACCATTTTATTTTACTGTTGGACAAATACACTGTTTTTCCTAAAATATCTTTGCATAACTTGGCATTTTCTTCCCATAATGTAACCATCACCTGTTGATGTTTTTTTTAATCAAATGATACATAGATAATATTGGTGCTATAAATTGACTGGTCGATAATAGTTTTTATAAACAATAGTGTAGTAATTAAACTAAATACCTCTGTATTTGTTTCATCTATTAAACGTATTTCTCGTAAATCATACTCTTTGTTTTTTTTTTGAGAGTACACTCTTCTCAAATCATTACTTTGACTACAAATTCCAATTACATCTAGAATAATTACATTTTTTAAAGAAATTTTTATAAATATATTTTAGCTATTACTAGACTAAGTTTAGGACCTTTTTACTAAAAGTATAATGCCGTTCATGTTGCATTTGTATGAACATATATATTAATTAGTATACTTATGTATTTATTAATTTTATATTAACAAAAAACATTTAATTTTATTGATTAAAACTCATGATCGTTTCAATAAAATGTGCCTTTGGGTAATTAAAAATATATACATTTTAGATTAAAAATTAGCGTAACTCAGGCAATATTTAAGAGGTTAATTGTTTTTCTTTTGACCATTTTTAAAAACAATTACTTCATCCTTCCTCTTTTGTTTAAGTCTACAATGATTTATACAATTAAACATAATATACACTGTAAGAAATGATCCAAAATTGTACTCTTCTAAACTATTGTAAACTTGTACTCAAATATAAAATTTTTTATTAATATGATCAAAAATTTTCCTTACATTATATGTGTTAAAAACTTCCATGTATGTAAAAATGTAGACTTTTTTTAATTCAGTGTGTATCTCTTACCAACTTTAGCCCCTTCGTTAAGATTCTTCAATTCATCTAATTTTATCGTCTCTTGATGTGCCCAAATGAAGGCATCCATTTCTTCATTCATTTTTACAATTGTATTTGGACCAATCTTCAATACATATTTGTGTTTGGTCGTGTTAAATATATTATTAGCATCTAATACAACTGGCTGTGTTATGGCAACAATATTTCCCTTCTATTAAATACGTCAGTTATTTAATTTACGTTTTTCAAATCATTTTTTACTTAAAATAATAATTTTTAGATTTCTTATTAAAAAAAATAATAACATTTATCCTTTACGTGAACCATCAATGATAAACTAACTCGTGTTTGATTTTGTGGTTTATTTACAGGAGGTCTATGAGGTTCGGACCCTCTCTATGGACATAAAATCATAGTAGGGGAGGTAATGAAGAGGTAAATATCGCAACTACTCTATGTTTTAAAAACTATCTGGATCCCCATACAAATTAATTATCCAATAATTTAATGACATAAATCATAATACTTGAAAAAATTCGACATTTTTAATGGCTTCTTCGCCAAATGCAACTATTCTAATAGTCCCAGTTTTATCAGATATTTCTCCGCTCAATCGTATTCCATCAGGGGTGTTTGTATTACTAAATGAGCTCAACACACCATTTTGTATGCATTGTCCAACAATTGTACATCTTAACAAAAATTAAATTATATTTCATGACGTTTATATTTCTTTAGCAAAAATTTACGTTATTTGTAAAAAAATACACATTTTTGAAATTGTACACAGTTATTTGTATGAATGAGCGTAGCTAAAAGAAAATCGGGCAAAATAATACTCTAGCATTCTGTATATTTGAATTCCATTCCAAAACTTAAAGCTTACTCTTTAAAATGTTTTTTACGAATATACGAATATTGTACCTGAATAATTTGTCTTACCTTCTGTTTTCATGTTTGGTTATATCAATAATAGTTTTTTTTGATTCCATTATTTTAAATTAAAAAAATAGTAATAATAAATAAATATTATATAAGAGAAACTCGTATGAATAAATGAATTTTAAATTAAAATCAAAATAAATTTTCACTGGCCAACAAATTCTTTTAATTTACTTAAACACGCTAATGTATACTACTTATTAATTTTATGATGATCGCCAGTTTTCAACACAAGAACTAAAAGCTATTAACATTTTAATTTTCGTATTGATATATTAACTTAAGCAATCACTTATCCTAATAGTCTTGTAAACATTACTATTAGTATAATGTATCACAAATGTATTTCAATTATAAAAAAATGCAACAATATTGTTGTTTTTGTAGTTACTAGAAGGTATTGTATTTATGATAAATTAAATATTGTCTTAGTAATTTAATATACTATGGATAATTAAAATATATTATTTATTAATATAAAATAATGATACATGATTATGCCAATAGTCAGGAAAAAATATTAACGCTTTTTATGTTGTAACAAGTTGTTGTTTTAATAACTATTTGATATCATTTATCTGTGTTACTTGGAATTAGGGCCCTAGATCGCTAGAGACAGGTTATCAGATATGATAATCTAAAGTTCGACAGAAAATTGTGGACAACGATAAAAGTTGATAGTTGATAAAATTTAGTACAATAACTACTTGGTGATTAAAAATGTTTATAAATAAACTGATGCTCTATCATAGTCCAAAACTTATGTACATTTCTTTACTTGTTAAAAATAATATTAATAATAAGGTCACAATAAAAATACTATGCAACTGATTTGATATCAACTAAGCACCTAATAAATATTTATTATAAGCATGCAACACATTAATTAATTATTAAATTTTGGTAAATAATTTTACTCGTTAACACGGGATAAGGGTCACGATAAAATAACTAATCATCCTACCGCTCATTAATTTCATTATCGTTACATAATTAATTTTATTTAAATATGTGATTGGAAATGATTTTCCTTTAAAAAAATTTAGCTATATTCTTTAGTTTTGAAGTATGAAATTGATTAGTATGTAATAAGACCACAGGCGTCTTTAGCCATTTTAGCAGTTGTGCCCCGCTGGACTTTTTATTTAAAGATCCCTAGTAACGTCTATAACAAAGAAACAATTAGGATTAGCATATCTTACTATTTTTTCAGTCTGTAAAGTTTTTTTTAATATATTAAAATCTTGATTTTTTCATTAGTTACATAAATGGTCAACATATTAAACTATTTCGTACAGAACCCTAATTAGAACTGCTCATGTATCGAAAAATTAATGGCCATACGATAATGTTTACGCCTCAGTTTTAACGAGACTTAGAATTTTATGGCCGGAGGTAATAAAGTAGCCCTCCCCAACACACAAATCCGACTGTTTACTTTTAATCTGAACCTCGCACGTCATCAATTAAGACAATAAACCGCTCAAGAGATACATGACAGTGTTTGCTCGTGCCGCCGTTACCTACACAATATTATAGACTCGTGTTTATTTTCTTACTCATCCGAGATATTTATTTTCAATGACCGCTGATGCTGTTACAAACGTTTAATCAGACTTAGCAATTCGGCGTCAGTAAACAACATTCAGCACAAGTCTGTGATAAGATGGCTAAATGTTTAACGCTTCCCTTGTACCATAAGAACCGAAGCTCATAAAATTAAAACGACCCGCATTGAAAACATTTATCAGAAATTTTAAGTACTACGTATAAAAGAAAAGTCGACTCATACTGTCGTCTTTTTTTATATTGTTCTATACATCGTTTAGCTATAAAACTTTTTTTTAATGAACGTTTAAACATATAATGTAATTATACGCTTAGAAAGCTGAATTAACTCATAAACTACAATTAATATATGGTGTCAAGTACATTAACTTGATTCCGACTAGATTTTAGTATTAAAAAATATTTCTTACACTGTATTCGAAGTTTTCGTTATATATATATATATATATATATATATATATATATTATTCTTACTTAATAATTAAAAAGACCATTTAATTAACATATTAGACAAATATGTTTAAACACTATAATTAAATATTCTATAATAAAACATTTATTATGTTCATTTTGAGTGGACAATTAGGTATTTTTGTTGCACACTGCTGTACAAGGTGATTCGTTCAACTCTAACCACTTAAAATATTTTTTTTTTCGATTTTGTTAGTTAAATATGTACTGATGATAACTTTGGACCAGTATTTCAAAAATGATTAACAATTTTAAGTAATAATTGGAGGTGAGGGGTGAGTGCTACTATTTTAACCACTAGACATTTATTGGCCTCATTCCTTGTCCCGTCTGCGTATAAAAATATTAACTTTAAACTGTTAAATGTTAAAATGTTAAACTTCTGAAATACTGGTCTAAAAATTGTTATCGACCAGTCATTTTCATTATTAGATCATTTTCTATTTTTTTAACTAGTTAAATATGTATGTTTCCGTTAAAAAAAAATAAAGTTTGACACCCCTATAAGACATAAGGGATGAACATAAAAAATATTTCATAACAGATTAATAGAAATTCATGTGATTAAAAAAAAAAAGACAAGAAAAAAATTCACAAATAAGTTATTATTTTGAGAGTAATAGAGCGGCTAGTGTCTAAATTCTGAAATATTATCTGTACTATATTCTTCAATGAATTCCTTTTAAACTACAAGTAAATGTTTAGCTTATTTGAGCTGACTCTTATATTTAGTGCACATTATGCGTTTATCTCTTATGTCTATTTTTCAAAATATATTATTGTCGTCGGAATATGTTAAGCCTTTTTTAAAAGTAACAGTTCATGAAGAGAGGGCTGTAAGCAACCTTGAATTTGTTCTAGTGACCCCTATTACAGTGCACGCTCATTATTATGGCAAACAGCGGACCTTCAAACGAAAGTGACCCGTTGGAAATAAAGATACGTTTTCAGTAAATAAATAATTCCAAGGGCAAACATAGAGATCCCTTTTTATTGAGCATAATAATTGGTTCAAGGATATTATCAAGGATTTAGCGTTTCATATAGACACCTTTGTGTGAAACGACATGGTGCCACATGTCGTGTCAGTTGTCACACAATTACTGTGTTTAGGTCAACAAGACGTCATATGAAGAGGTATAAAATTTACGTTATATCTATACAATAGTAATAAAATAAACGTCTAAAGCAAACTGAAAATTAAAAAAAAATTTGTAAACATTAATATTTTATCAATCTATAAACATAAACGATTCTACTAGAAAAAATCGTAATATTAAATTATCTATTGTAAATAAATATATTATCTAAATATTAGTGCTACCATATTACATTAAACCTGATAATAATAATTGCATTGTCTTGAAAAAAATTATAAGATGAGTTATGTACTCAAATATAAAAGTAAATTACAACATAATAATTAATATAATATTTATTCTCGCACGTCCTAATAATTATATCTTGTCATGAACAAATATCTAGATTTTTTTTTATATTAATGGTCAAAATGTGCATGTAGAATGTTTCATTTGCAGTATGAATTTTGCACTATTAATGTAGGAAAATTTAATTTACCACATATTCTTATAAAACAATTGATGAAACATAGTTTAATAGCTTAATTCGTGTGTAATATGTGATAGTATGTATGTGTAAGTAAAAGTATACACATAATAAAAAAACAATATTGTAAAACTAAAACATGTTAATTATTAATATGACAACTTCTGTTAAGTATTACTGTTAGTCAATACAATCTTTTTTACTTTAGTATACATAATTTAAATGCAAGCTACCAAAGAAATTTGATAAGGTTTTACTTTTAGAAAATACTTAAATTCATTTTGAATATTTTTATTTGTAATACATTAATATCACGAACAAATATGTTTTTGGCGTCATCATTATAATATTCAAGCATAATAAAGTGCTGCTTTTTTTATTTGATCAATAAACTTTAACATTTTATCTTTGTTCGAAGACGTCTTATTTTATATTTGGATGCGCACGATGATAATTAAATTTATCGATGATACAATTAATAGTATCCGTTGAAATTGATTTATTCTCATTATTTTTTTCGAAACTGTCAAAAGGCTTTATTATTTAAATGATAAAATTATCTTTATAAATATATTTGACAATAATTATATATAAAACATAGTGCTAAAACCAATTTATTATTAATTTAAGTTTCAATCACACTTCAAAAATTTTCTGGTGATTTTAGCATTAAAATATCTATTTTTATATTCATTTTAATTGCAAACACACAAAATTTTAACAGTATTTATAACATTTTAGATGGTGCAGTAACTTATATTCGAATTATATATATCTGTCATGTCCTACAGGTTTTTTTTTTATGAATTTCTATATTAGGAAAATTTATAAAAGCAAACATTTTTTTTTTAATAGTGTTTTTACAGAATTTAACATCACCTTTCATCATCATGTAATAATTACGTTTTTTTAAATTTTAAATTCATATATTTCTTATATTGATATTTTACTTGGTTGAACTTTTTTTAGTTGTATCTTTTATTTAAAAAGCGTTAATTGAATAAGAGTAACACGATTTATGATTTTAAACTTTATTTACCTACTTTCTAAGAAAATTATAAAAATTAAAGGTATTCTTAATAAAAAATTACAAAAACAATCTAAGTCAATCAGCTTATGCATTTAAAATGTTTTCCTGGTATAATTTATTTTTTTTAATTTAAATATTGTATCATAACTTGGATTAAAATTAAAAACTTAGAATAATAGTGTAGAATAATAATGCATTATAGAGACTTATTGGACGTAATCGTCAAATGAAAAATAATGTCGTTCTTGAAATTTACCAAATTCTTAAAATTAAACACTATCTACAAATTTGTATCAAAGCTTTCTTGTAATGATTTTTATCACTGTCAAATATCATTTATACTTACAATTATGTAACGTCCACACTGCGCAGCGACTCCACTGCGTTATCGTTTTTTTTTATGTTCATTTCTTATGTCTTATAGGGGTGTCAACTTAATTTTGTTAATGTTAAAAATAACTAGCTTATAAAATTGAAAATTAATTTATTATAAAATTTAATTAAGAAAATGTCTGCTGGATAACAACTTTTGGATCATTATTTCAGAGTTATTAGCAATTTAAAGCAATGACTAGAGGTGAGAAGAGGTTGCTGCTATTTTTAACCCTAGACATTAATCGGTCTCAATCCTCCTCACGCCTAGGTATAAAAATGTTAATAACTTCTAAAATATTGCACCAAAAATTGTTATCGATTAGTATCTTCCTCTAAAAGAATTAAGAAAAAAATACAAAAAAGTTCTTTTGACGAGCGGGGATCGCCTTGCAGCCTGATCATGTAAGTCTATTATACAAACGATGCAGTCAATGTACATAACATGGAATTATACCTAAAAAAACAGTAGCACAGTGGGGTCGCGGTATAGTTGAGCGTGGCATAGTTAGTATAGATGATATTTGACAATGACTAAAATCACTATCATAAGAAACGTTTCGATGCAAATCTGTAGATAGTGTTTAATTTTAAGAAATTGGCGGATAAATCATTTTTAACCTACATTTTTTGTGAAAGTTTATAATAAAAAAAAAATAATGAATTTATTGCCGTAACTTTTAGCTCAACTTGCAAGTTTGAAATTGACATAATTCAATAGAAAAAAATTGTATTGTTAAGATTAATATGCAGTTAGCATATTTTATAATTCCTATTTACAGTAAATTTGTCAGAAAAGACTCTATATATTTTTTGAATTTTTACCGTAATAGATCACTTAAATAGAAATCATAGTAACCATATCTAATTAAGTTTTGGTGTTAGATTCTACAATTGAAATATACAGAACTGAATTAATTTTAATAATTTATTTTAACTAAAAAAACAATAAAAAAAAGTTAAAAATATCTACTCGATTGAGTGTATTATAAAATTTGATTATAATTGTAAAAATTCATTGTTAAATTCAGGTGAAACTAAAAATATTTTTTTTTTAGATTTATGATTTGTATAACAAAATGTTTCAAAAAATGTTGGAATGTTATAGACTGGTAGTAGCACACACAAATCGAGTTAAAAAATTAATAAATTACAAAGTAAAATGATTTACTTTTGTAGTTGAATACTTTTATCATATCAAATCTCATTCGACAATAAATAATTTAAAAATATTAGAAATTAATGATTTTAATTGTTTGTATGGTTAAAGCTATTAAAGCTACTTTTCATTTGATTAAGGGATTTTTTTTTCAGTTTTTTAGGGTAATATCTTCAACGAAACACGCATTGAAATCATTTGACATATCATTAAAAAAGTAGGTTAAGTGAGAATTGAAAAATAAAATCGCAGCCACAAAAAAAAAAAAATAAATAGTAAAATAATATTAATATGAATAAAAAATATCTTCTTATGAGGGGAGACGACAGTGATGAGATCCTTCATATTTATTGAAGTTAATGAATCTAAATGAGATAAAAATCAAATGGTTTGACACAATTGTTCTAACTTAAAAAAAAATACAAAATATTCATTGCCACAGGCGGATTTAAATCTGGTAGCCAAAGCGTAAAAGACACAAGTGTTACCGTTCGACAACTATCCATGATAAAATTGGCAATTTAAGCTAATTCAAATTTTAAAGGAAAAAAATTTTAATTTAAAGTGTCTATATCAATTATATTATATAATATTCATGAAAGTCAGTGTAAGATATTTAAAAATACAAAACACAGAATTTCAACACAAAAATAGCATATTTTTTAATACGGTAGTCATTTTCACAAAGAAGAAAATTGGTAATTTTTGGAAAGTTGGTAGGTTGTATGCAATTACTAATAATTGGTAAGCATGAAGTGTATTTGATATGACTTTAGTTCGTAATTTTGACGCTTAATCAAAATGCGACATTTTTTATACCACATTTTGTTTTTGAAATTATTATTAATTATAATAATAAGTAATATTAGTATAAAGTTTGACAAGGTATTGAGGTTTTAAATGAAATATATCGAACAAAAATCACAACGCTAAGTTCAACATTAAAAAAAAACTTTAAGTTCATTTTACTTTACCAAAAGTAACGGTCCACATCGACACTAAATGATATTGTAAGCAAAAACAATGTAATAAAGTGTATCAAGACTACACGTCAGATGTGAGCTGGTTTATATAGTAGTCGTGTCACCCGGTTGATAGTGACGGTGGACAGTTGATAAACACGACCAGATGATAATGTGTTAATTACCGTAGACGACTACACCCAAAGAAAAACCTCAATCAATTTTGATAGAGAAATTTTATCAAGGGTTTATGATAATGTTTTATTAATACGAACAAAATAATTATTCTTATAAATAATTATTGTTCAAGACAAGAAAAAAAATTATCATATTGATAAATATATCATAGATTCAATAGTAATGATATATTTATCAAATTGAACAATGAATTTATTATATAGATCGAGGTTTTTATCTGGGTGTAGTGTGCTATTATTGTCCATTTCAAGTATAAGTAAATAAACTATAACTTCATAATATACTAGTCTTAAAAAATTAATATTATATTTCTTTTTTGAAACAAATTGATACAAATATAAAATTAACAATGAATTGTTCAAATTATTTTGCTGCTGCATGGAGCTATTAACTTATATTTAGTTTTAAATAATAATTATTACAAAAAAAAAAA